AAAGCTGGCCCAGAGCCCTCCCACCAGCCCCTGAGCTGGCAGGGACAGGGCAGGCTTGGTGCTGCTGCCAGCCACCCCTGCCCTGGGCTTCCTAAAACAAACCCAAGCCTGGGCACACCTGGGCACCTTGGTGCTGCTGCCAGCCACCCCTGCCCTGGGCTTCCTAAAACAAACCCAAGCCTGGGCACACCTGGGCATGGATGGAGCAGCTGGAACCAGCAGGAGCCAGGGGGGAGGCTCAGGAGCTCAGGACTGCAGCAGGGAGGGAGCAAGGGACAAGGAGCCAGGCCTGGGGACATCACGGCATAGCCAAACCATCCTCAGCCATGGGCAAAGCAAACCAACAGGGACAACCTGTCCAGCCGGAGAGCTGCTCCAGGGGGAGCAAACCCCAGCAAACACCTCCCTGAGCCCCAGAACAGGGAGTGGGATCTGGTAGAGTCTGTGCTGGCCCCTCACTGCTCCTGCCTGCACTGAGGATCAGCTCTGGTGCTGGGGGTGAGTTGGCTTTTGGGAGGGTTTTTGTTCTTTTTTTTCTGTTATTGTGTTTTAGTGTCTGGTTAAAGCCTGTCTGGTTTAGATTTGCACCAACTGGGGCCCCAGTGCTGTGCTCAGAGCTGGGAGCCCAGGAGCAGGAGCTGCTCCATCAGCAGCTGCAGAGATGCCCTGTGCCCAGCTGAGCTGAGGGTGCTGCAGGGTGCAGAGGCTCCAGGGAGAGCTGGGCTCTGGCTATGGGTGTAATTTAAAACAAAGCTGGGAAGTCAGGAGACAATTTGACAAGTTACCAGCTGTAACTGGTGCCCTTACTGGCTGAAATCCCCACTGGGGATGGGGAAGACCAGCAAGGAGCCAAGAAGGGATCACATTATTGCTGGAAGAGAGTGATGTGTTTTCCAGCAGGTCATTTCCCCCTGCTCCTCACTGTCTCATGGATCAGCTGTCCTTGTGGGACAGGTCATTGTCACTGCAGCTGTGCCTCCCAGCAAAGCTGATGCCTGCCTGGAGAGCTGCAGCCTCCCCTGTGTGGGATAGGCTCGTTCCTCTTCCCCATTTTCGAGAGGAGCTTTAGGGTTGTTTGGACAGTCCCCAGGATCTGACTGTGACATGATGCAGGAACAGATTCCATTGCTCCACAGCCTTCCCATGAACCAGGACATGGGGCTCTGGGCAGACAGGTCACTCTGGGTGCCTTCAATCCCATTAAAATAACCTGTTCCAAGGCTTCAGTCCCATTAAAATAACCTGTTCTAATGGTTCAGTCCCATTACAATAACCTGTTCCAATGCCACACTGCTTCCCACACACCACAGCATCAAACCCCCAGGCACCACATCCAACAAGAGCACAGAAACCTGTCCAGAACAGGTCTGCCATGCTGGGGGACACAGGAATTCCCTGAGGGGACACGCCAGTTCCCACACACAGCACTGCAGGCCTGCAGGGCTGATGATGATGATGATGGAGGGACCTTCCCTGGGTGTCCAAGGAACCCCATTCATGGGGAAAAACTCACACAGTCCCTACACATTCTTTGTCACTCCATCCTTCAGGATGAAGTGCTCAGAGTACCTGGGGAGGCTGGGAAGTGCCAGCACAGTCCCAGGCACTCTGCAGAGCTCCAGGCTGGACAGAAATCAAGTGCAAAACCACAAACACAACATTTGCATGAGAGCTCACAGCTCTTCAAGCTTCAAAGGACAATTTTCACCATCACAGCACTCACAGGTATTAATGAAAAAAGCCTCCATCTGACATTTCTCCAGCTCCATTTGATATTTAATTGGGAGAGAAGATCAAAGACCAGGGGAAATAGGTGGTTTTGCATTATCATACACACAGCTGAGCACAGTGAGCAGGAGAGATTAAAGCACAGAAATAAACTGCAGTACAGCAGCCATTCTTACAGCCACAGTGATGCCAGGGAGCCACAACTTCTGACACCCCTGTGGCCTGGAACACGTGCCCTGAGCAAGCTCCTATGTCCCACCATGGCCATGGAGAGCTCTGGGAATGGACAAGCTGCTGCTGGAGCTGAATCCCCAATGCCCACAGCAGGTCCTGATCCTGGCCAGCCCAAGGGGATGGGACAGACACCTCCCAGAACTTCTCCCTGCCTGACCAGGGACAGGCCATGGTCTCAGCAGTGCCAGTACAATCTGTGGGACCAGCATTGTCACTTGGCACTGCCAGTGACTCTCCATACTGCTGGCACAGAAAACAAGGGATGCAGCCAACTTTACAGCAAAAATAATTTCCATTTCTGACTGAAAGCATTATTTTCTATTATTGGCTTTCACACCCAAGACTGTTACAAATGAACAATATTATTCCCTGCTTTAATCAGTTTAATTCCCCACTTGGCAATACTGAATTTTGTCCCCTTGTGGTGTCCTGTGTATTTGTGACTACTCAGCTGCTGGGGGGTGTCAGTACCACACTCAAAGGCAGCACTGGTGGGGCTGTGGCTGCAGGATGACCCTCCCCAGGACATGGTGGGCTGCAGGCCCCTGGAAGAACTTCACCCCTGGAATTTTATTTGCTCCAGCTGGTGACACAGTTGGGTGGAGGGAATGGAACCAGTTTCCCTTAATCCATAAAAGATCAAATGAATTTAAAACCCCCTAAAGAGCCCCCCTCATTCAGGTAACCTGGTCTTGAACACTTCCAGGGATGGGACAGCCACAGCTTGTGTAGGTAACCTCTGCCAGGGCTCACAGGGAAGAATTTCTCCCCATTATCCCATTAATTCTGCTCTCTTTCAGTGTGAAGCCATTCCCCATTGTCCTGTCATTCCATCCCTTGTCCAAAGTCCCTCCCTGCCTTTCTTGCAGGCCCCTTCAGGTACTTCACCCTCTCTCCACATTGGATCTCACTCTCCTGATGGCACCACCACCACTTTTGCTGAGGGCACCTCATTCCCACCCTGTCAGGGGGCACAGAGGGACTGTCAGCCGTGGCTGTCCCACTGGGATCTGGCAGCTGGCCCTGGTGAGGCCATGCCCAGTGAGTACCCCACATACCCACAGCTCTACATGGGTAGGATTCAGAGATATATCTAATTTTTAAGTTATTTGTTAATAAAACACAAGGAGCTGATGGAAGCCCAGGCCGGATTGGCCCCAGCACCTCCCTGGCAGTTTGCTGGATCAGCTACAAAAACACCCCACAGCATTTCAGGCAAGAAATCCTCATCCCTGGGGGTTCTCAGTGCTGTCTGGGTGTGCTCTGCTCTCTTCTGCTTCTGCCCTTCCTCCCTGGGCCGGGTCTGCTGACCCAGCGAAATCCCTCACATCCCTGTGCACTACAAACACTGAAAAGGGAAATGGTTTTGAACAAAGTGATGAAGAAAAGCATTTCCACTAGCAAGCGTGTTTGTTTTAATCCCTCTGATTTCCATTTTGCTGGGGGTTTTTCTTTGCCCTGGACTGTGCAGAGATTTGAGTTTTTGTACCCACGTTAGGTCTCACAGCCCCATGACGTCGGCAGTTTCAGTCACACCAGCTTTTGTCTCTGCTGCTTCCAGATGGGCAAACACGGGCTATTCCAGCCACAGCCTCGATAACAAGGAAGCTCTGAATTATTCTGAACAAAAGGGCAGCAGTTAAACCTATTAACACCAACTGAAACCAACCAGCTGGCAGCAAAACCGCGTGTGACCAGCGTGGATTGTCTGTGTCCCTGCACTGCCCCCATGGATGCTCTGCTGGCCTGGATAACAGCATGGACAACAGCAGAGAATCATGGAATCATCTGGATTGGAAAATTTAAGATCATGGAGGCCAGGGAGACGACACAGGGAAGGTGTGTATGAAGGTGGATCCAGCTGTGGGTAAGGAAAACAAACCTAAGCAGTCAGAAGGACAGTGTCAAACACGTGGGACTCGGCGGTTTCAGGTGACACAACCTGGCCCAGGCGCTCTGCTGATCTGTCAGCACTTCTGAACAGGCGACTCCCGCAAAGTCAACACTGAGATCGGCATTCATTGGGAAAAATGCTCACCGCGGTTTGCAGGATGACAGAACGCCGACAACAATGGGAGGATTTCCAGCAGGGCCCCTCTCACTCACGGGGGTCCCGCAGGGTGTCGGGATGGCAGGGACGGACCCGCCCCGCTCCCCCCGCTCCGGGGATGCGGGATAACGGAGCAGCTTCCCCGAGCGGGGATCACCGGCCCCAAACCAGCACATCCATGGCAAGGCTCGGCGGTGCCAGCCCAGCGGGACGGGGGATCCGGCCCGGCCCGGCCCTGCCTGGGGACAGCGGCGGTGGCCCCAGGGATGGCACTGCGGGGACAGGGACACGCCGGGGGTGGGAAGGGAAGGGCAGCCTTGCCCGGAGCGCTGCAGGGCACGGCCCAAAGGAGCTCCAGCCGGAGCTGCGGGCGCTGCCCGGGGAACGGGACACCCCGAGCGCTGCCCCGACCCCCGCCCCTCCCGCTCACCGCGGATGGCGGCGATGAGCGCGTTGCCGTCCTTGATCACCTCCTTGATGAACTTGTTGGTGCGCTCCAGCTCCTGCTCGTAGCACTTGAGGCGCTCTCGGAAGTCGGGGCTGTCCAGGTAGCAGTCGCTGAACTCCAGCGGCGGGTGCCCCATGGCCGCGCCTCGGCCCGGCTCCGCCGCGCTGCGCCTACCGAGCGCTGCCGCTGCCGCCGCCCCGGGCGCCCCGCGCCGCCGGCATCCCGCGGGCCCGCCCCGCCCGCCGGCCCCGCCCGCCGCTCCCGCTGCCGCGCCTCGCCCGAGCGACCCCCGCCCGCCCGCCGAGCTTCCGGCCGCGCCGCTGCCGCCGGGAGGTGTAGTCCGGGATGAGCGGCCGCCCACCCGCCTAGCCTGGCCCGGCCCGGCACGGTTCGGTTCGGGCGCTCCGGGCCGGGCGCTGCCGCCGCCCCCCGGCCGCTCCCAGCGCGCCCCCTGCCGGCGGGGCGGGGCCGGTGCCGCCTGCACGCGTTGCCATGGACGCCCCGGCGGCGGCGCGTGACGCAGCGGCTCGCGGTGATGACGTCAAAGTGGCCTCCACGTCGCCCGGGCGGCCAAGATGGCGGCGGCGGAGGGGAGCGGGGCCGGGGGGACCCTGGTGAGGGCGGCCGGGGGAGCCGCGGGGAGCCGCGGGAGGGGAACCGGGGAGGCCGGACTGGGGGGGGGTCGGGGGCGTTCGGGCCCCCTCTGTCCCTGAGCAGGGCCGGGCAGCCGGTCAGGTGCTGGGCAAAGGCGCAGCGGGGTCTGGAGGCCCGGGCGGGCGGCGGCTCGTCCGGAGGGCGGGGATGGGGGTGAGAAAGGCGACAGGGAAGGAAGACAGGAATGGGGACAGGGTCGGTGCAGGGCCGGGGGCTGCCGGCCTCCGCCGTGCCCTCCGTGCCCCGCCTGCCCAGCGCCTCCCGCAGAACCGGTCGGGCCGTGCCCTGTTTGCCTTCGCCTCCGGGCACCCCCGAGCTTTGCTCGCCCGCGGGCGGGGAGAGCTTCAGCCCTGTTAAACTGGTCCCTGAGCAGCCTCGGTGTGTGCCCGGGCCGGGGGTGTCCGTGTTAATGCTAAATGTTAATGTTTATTTTAAGTGTGGGTACTCGGTGGTGGTGCGGCTGTGCAGCCCTCAGGCATCACCTCCCTTCAAACACGGCTTTTTATTTATTTATTTCAGTTACTGCTGGAGCAGAGCACAGAGGGGGTGGGCTCTGGAGGTGGCAGCGGACAGGCTCACACACACCTGCTCAGCTCTTCTGTCACTGCTCACATCGGGCAGGGACAGCCTGGCCCTGCTGCAGAACCTTTTCTTTGTTGTATCCCTGAATTCTGAGCAGCTCTGTCCATCCCCAGCCCATCTGAAGTGCACACGAGCATGTTTGTGTTTGTTCCTAAAGGTTTGTGCCCATTCAGTTCCCAGGTCTGGCAGATGTGTCCATATCCCAGGACATTCCAGTGGAAGGGGAGATCACTGTCCCTGTGGGATCTCACTCTCCTGATGAGGATTTCTCCACACTGGATGAGCCAGTCAAGGACACAATTGTGAGTCTGAGCCCGTGGCTGGGGTAAAACTCAGGTTTTCTGGAGGTTTTGGCAGCTGTTGTGCAACATCTGTGTTTTTGCACAGCTCTGTACTTCAGTGGGGATTGTTTTAGAACTCATCACATAAAACAAATTTCTGTGGGTCAGAAAGTGTCTGAATCGTGGCCCAAAGTTTCTCTGTGATCCTGAAATCAGTGTGAGGGCAGAGACCTCAGTGGGAGCTTGTGAGAAACTCTTCTGACTGAAGGTGTTTTTCATTTATTCTTTTTTCCTAGAGGAGCAAACAAATTGTTGGTTATATTCTGGTGTTATTAAAAGCTACAGTGTTGTGGTTGTTAAAGAAAAGGATGTGATGTGGTGGTTGTTAAGGAGTGCAGGAAAAGCAGTCATTGTTTGTTGCAGAGGGTGCTACAGAACTTGTTGGGTTGGATCCTCTCCTGATTTAAACATGAACATTCATGTTCCTTTACTTGTGTCTCTTTGCTTTAGCTGGGAGCTGTAATTTTTGTGAGTGGATAAATGAAAGTGTTTTGTGTTTGTTTCAGATGAGGGACCTGAAGGCTGTTGGGAAGAAGTTTGTCCATGTCATGTATCCCAGGAAGAGCAGCACCCTCCTCAGGGACTGTACGTGCAGGGGATGGGGGTTCAGGGGGCTGAACACCCCGAGCAGCAGAGCTGGCACCTGGGGTGTCCCCGGGGCTCTGGGGCAGGGTGGGTGCAACTGGCAGCTGCAGCAGCTGCTGGGTCTTGAGTGGATTTTGTTATAGATCATGGGGTAAGATGCTAGATAAGAGAATTGTAAAGCAGTGAGATGTGGCAAATGGCACCTTGGGAGTTGGGCAAGGGGCTGTATCACTCCCAGGAGAGTGTAACTGAGGTGGTTCTGTGACTTTTGTGATGTGTTTTCTGTCTCCCTGCAGGGGATCTGTGGGGCCCATTGGTGCTGTGTGTCTCCCTGGCTCTGTGAGTATTCCGGGGGAATTTGGGGTTTTGTAGCCTGGTGCATGAGGGAAATGAGATGTTAAAAATTACTCATTAATGGGTTAAGATCAATTTCATCTGATCCCTCTCTGTCTTGTGCAAGCACTGCTTTGTTGGGTTCTCTGATAAAATGTGTTTGTGACACTTCAAGCCCATTAACACCTCCTGTCCCTACATTTAGGATTTAGGGATGAACTCTTCCTGGTCCCCTGGCCTAGGAATGGTTTTACTGAAGGTGTCTCAAGTTATCCTGGTCAGCTGTAGTACCTGCATCCTCAGATTTCTCTGAGGCTGGTTTGTTCAATCACACACTACTCTGCTGCCTTGAGAGGTACCAAAACTTTGGTACTTTAATTTCCATCTCAGAATGGAATCAAGCCTGTTGTCCATGGTTTGATTCCCTTCTGAATGCTTTCACAGCCCTCAAAACAGGGAAACAAATGGACTGAAATCACCTCAGTTGAGCCACAACCATTTTCCTTTCCTGTGCAAAACTGAGGATATGACGAAAATATAAAATGAAGGAAAAACTGTGGGCCTGCTCCATTCTGGGAAAACTCCATCTGTGTGTTCCCCAGTGCAGCTGTTTCTCCCTGTTCCCCACTCCAGGATGCTGCAGGGTGGCTCTGCAGACAGCAAGGATGATGGAGGGCCCCAGTTTGCCGAGGTCTTTGTCATCATCTGGTTCGGGGCCGTCGTCATCACGCTCAACTCGAAGCTCCTGGGAGGCACCATGTGAGTGTGGGTTTGTTCTGTAGAGCTTCTCTGTGCACAGAGCTCTGCCCTGCCTGGCCTCACTGCTGTCTCCCTGATGCTGTCTCCCTGTGCAGCTCCTTCTTCCAGAGCCTGTGTGTGCTGGGGTACTGTGTGATGCCTCTGACCGTGGCCATGCTGGTGTGCAGGCTGGTGCTGCTGGCGGGCGCGGGCACCGTCAGCTTCATCATCCGCCTCATCGTGGTGGGGGCCATGTTCGCCTGGTCCACCCTGGGTGAGTCCTCCCTGAGCCTGGGCAGCTTGATCTGGGCATTTCCTGAGGCAGAACCAAAGGGTGATCTAGGCTGAAGTGGCCCTAGGCTGCTGAAGGGCTGTGGAAATAGTTCTTCCAATCTGAAGCTGAAGGGTTGTAGAAATAGTTCTTTTAATCTGAAGCTGAAGGGCTTTAGAAATAGTTCTTCCAATCCTTGAGCTGGCAGAGGTTCAGCCTCTGTCTCTGCTCCTGGTGGTTTCCATGGTCATATGCAAACTGCCTTGGGCAGCAGGATGATGATTTAGTATTAAACTCTGTGAGACTGTTTGGTGGTTTATTCTATGATTAAGTTATAAGTACTATTATAAAATGCTGATTTTATAGAGATACATTTGTATGATTTCTTCTGTAAGTCTGGCTCTCATTGTACAGTGTTAATCAGTATTTATGGCCAGGCTGGTTGGGGCTTGGAGCAACCTGGGCTAGTGGAAGATGTCCCCTGGAAGGTGTGGCAGGGGGTGGAACTGGATATCCCTTCCAAGCCAAACCGTGCTGTGATTCCTTGATTCTATGACTTGTCATTCTGTATGATAAAGGAAGTTGCACTTGGTGATTACAGCCCGTTGCTTTGAGCAGTGGTTTGATTTTCAGCACAAGTGCAGTGCAGATCCTGGCTGTGAGGGGGCTGTGAGGGTTGTGCTGCTCGTGCTTCACAGGTTTTGTGTCTCTGCAGCATCCACGGCGTTCCTGGCAGACAGCCAGCCCCCCAACCGCAAGGCCCTGGTCGTGTACCCCATCTTCCTCTTCTACTTTGTCATCAGCTGGATGATCCTGACGTTCACCCCGCAGTGAGCACCATCCCAAGGGGCTGCTACACTGACTGGACTTTCTCATGGACGCTGCAGTGAATCCTTGGCTTTATCTCCTTCTAATTTATATATAGGGATACTGTAAAAAGGCAGGTTGTGGGATAAAGCCAGAGGGCTGCAAAAAGTGCTCATTTGTGTGTCACTCTTTGTGAAAGATGCTGAGGTCCAACTGCTGAGGGGTTTATTTAGCCCTGTTCTCTACTGGTGTTAAATAAACAATGCCCACTGGGACAGGGATTGCTCCATCTGAGGAGAAAGTGGGAAATCCTGGATTTTCAAGCTGCTGGGAGATGAAGATTTTGCACAAGTTGGCAGATATCCTGCCCGTGCTTGGATTCTCACTGAAGATAAAAATGCCTTATCAAACCATAGAACTTCACTGCAATGATGTGTGGAGAGGAAAGAGATGTGTCTGACTCTTTTTCATTCCCTTCTAGAGTGGTGGGATGTGCACCAGCCATTGTGGGACTGGGGCTTTCCCAGGAAAGGAGAGTTCAGTCAAAACTCAGTTTTGCAGGGAATGGAGCTGGTGGCAGGGAGTTGCTTTTGCCCATATCCAAATGTTGTGTGTGTCCATCCCTTCATGTGGCAGGAGAGAAGGTTCCAGCTTGGTGCCTTCAGCACTGCCTCTGTGAGGGGACTGTGGGCTCACTGCAAGCTGCAGACCTGTGACCAGAGGGAACAAAGCTCAGAGTCCTGCAGAAATGCTGAGACTGCTTTGTAGCAAAGTCTGGGCTCTCACGCTGCATTTGGGAAGTGAAAATTCCTTGGGAAGTACCATGAATGTGTATCTATGATAAAAACAAAAAGTTCTGTGCGCAAAGTTGAGGTTTTGGGTCATAAAAACCCTACCAGGGCTTGGGCCCCAGAGTGTTAAAACAGCTTGAAGGAAGGGAAATAAATGGTACTGGAGGTGTTGGTGCTCTGAAGCAGGATATGAATTCTGCTCTCACCTGCCTCTGTGTGACTGTTCCTTTGGTTGTTCATGGGGACAGCAAAGAAATGTGTGCAAATGTGCATTTTGTTCCCTTGTACTTCCCAGGAGATGTCAGACACTGTACTGTGGGGTTTTAATTTTGCTTAATACTTTAATAAAAGGGAGGGGGCTCCACCAGTCACTGCAGGTTCATTGTGTACCTCTCCTGGGTACAGGTGTGCAAGAGTCAGGTGCATTTTGGCACAGACACTGGGAGCTGGGACTTGCTTTTGGAAACTACAGAAATGATTCCTGTTGTCTGTTGTTCTCATTCAGCAATCCATGAAATATCTGGGGTGAAAAAGCTGCTGTAAAATGTTATTTTTCCTACATTTGTGCAGACAGACTGAAACTGAGGTCTGTGGGTTCTGCTGAGGTGTGAATGTGCCTAATTTCTACTTCTTTGTGCAAGAGCTGTCTGTGCTGTAAACACTGGCAGTGGGTGGGAGCTGGGATGGAAATTGCTGAATTTCAGATTAAAAGTGCATTTTTGCATTAATGGATAATGAGCTGCTGTGTGTGGCAGGGCCTGCCTGTGGCACCAAGGGGCTGGAGGGGAGCTGTGGTGGTTGGCAGACATGGGAACCATGGAAAGGGGAATTTTTAAGCTTCCATTAAATTATTACTGGTATGGAATGTGGTTTTTCTTATAAAGTTTACAGTTTTTCCTTCAATTAAATGTTAGTTCAGCATTTGAAGCTGAAAAGAAATATTCAAGGGAAATGGATGGTAATGCTGTTGATGGCTATGGTGGGATTCCTTGAGCCAAATCTTTCTGTCCTACAAGAATTTAACCACACTTCGAAAGAAATCCTTGGATTCTCTCTGGGTCTTGTGACTTGAGCTGGTCTTCTATCTCAAGGATAATTGGAGTAGCATTTAATTGATCCAGTAATATTTTGGTTTTTTTTACATTTCTTCAGAAAGTCAAAAAGCCCAAACTGGGGTTTGTTCCTCAGCCACCCTGGAGCTCCTGCAGAGCCCCTGCTGTGACAGAACCACATGAGCACATTAAACACAACCAAACCATTTTGGTTCAGGGAAACAAAACGCCTCAAGCTTGTTTGATATTTGCAGATGCTGGAATTAATGCAGCTGATTGATTAATGCAGCACTTGAAAGTGCTGGTGTCACCTGTGAGTGCTCCCTGAATGTCCCTCATCCTGTGCAGCCAGGTGTGCAGCACATCCCTCCCAGGGGCCCTGCAGGGGACTAATCCCTGTCACCAACAGAGGTTTAATTTGTGCTGGAAATGTCTGTTGTACTTTCCAAGGAGAAAGGCTTTTCCTTCTTGTTTAAAGCTGCTGGGGATGGATGACAAGGAGAAGCAGCTGTGTTGCCTATAATGGAGTGTTTGAACTGCTCTGCACAGAAATGGCTGATTTCCAATGCACAAACCAGGCTTTCTTTCCTACTAGGATTTTTTTTTAATATTGTTTATCAGCAGAAGTTGTTATATATGTTTAATTTTCAATTTTAATACCAATAAAAAGGAAAATAATTTATGTGCTTTAACTTGAAGAATTCAAACAGGCTGAAAGTCACGTGGGCAGTGTGAGGTGTGGATGGATGGAAGCTCTGTGCTCTCTGTGGCACCTGGCCTGGCTGGGGCAGGAGGGCAAAGCTCCCCAGTCCCTACCCTTGTGTCCCCTGTCCCCACACAGCAGGACACGTGTGCCACTCGTGCCAAAGCCCCTGAGGCTGAGCCAGAACATGGCCCTGGCCAGGCTGGGATCCTGCTGGTGCTCACACCCTGCTCAGGGAAGGAGCAGTGGTGCTGCTGTACCCCAAAATCGGGGTTCCAGTGGCTTCAGGGCTGGGAGGTCTCAGGAGCCACCCAGGGGACCTGTGTGTGCCTCAGTGATGCTGGCCAGGGACCATCGGGGGCAATGGGGGAGCAGAAATCTGGTAGGAGGGAGCCTTATGGGTCAGTGGATATTAACCCATCCCTGCCTGGCTAGTGAACCAACGGCAATTAAACCCATCCCTGAGCCACAGCAGGGTTTGAGGCAGTGGCCAGGGGTTTGTCCACGCTCTCGGTGACAATGAGGACATCCATGACACCACCCTGGCCAGGGAGCCTTGGCCCGGAGCTGGTGGCAGCAGGGACACGCTGCCCCTGCGCCGAGCATGGGCTGCGGGGCTGGGGACAGCCACCATGGGCCAGCGGTCACCAGAGGGCGGCAGGACCGCGCTGTCCCTGGCAGCTTTCTGCAGCCTGGTTGTCACCTCCGCGTGGTTCCCGGGAGCTCCGGGGAGCGCAGCCCGGTGCTCGGTGCCGCAGCCAGGACCGGCTGGCCGGCAGCCCCGGCAGGTGAGCTCTGAGCTGTGAGCTGTGAGCTGCCAGCCTCAGCTGCCGCCACCTGCCACCAGCGCGGGGTGCCACACCTGGCCCTGCTGCGGGGTTTCTGCCTGCTCAGCCATGAGCAAGAAAACACTTTCATTCAACAAGTGTTGTTTTGTTTTTTTAAAGACAATTTACCAGTCCTGGAAATTTCTCTGTTCCGCTGAAAAGAGGTGTTCCCAAGTGTAGCTCTGGGCTTTGTACTTAGTTACACTTTGTTGGGATGAAGCTTGAATTTAGCATCTTCTCTAAGTGAATCTTTTAAGGGAAATATTCTGCACGCTGAATTGTACCCTAGGGCAAACAAATGGGGCAGGTGCCAGTGGAAGGACGGATTTTCACAGTAAAATCAGGAAGTGTTACCCACAGAGGGCTGCTGTTGACAGCTGGGACTGTGAACTCCCGACCTTTGGCTCTCTTGGCAGGGCAAGCAGGTGACATGGCTGCACGAGCTGGAAGGCAAGCTGGAGGCTGCTGAATCTCCACACTGCAGGTACTGAATGCAAGGGCAGTGCCAGGGGGGATGGGACAGGCTGTGTCCAGCACAGAAGGTTCCTCATTGGAGGTGTCAGGGGAGTGTCACCGAGGGCAGGTGTGACAGCCCAGCACAGGGGCAGCTGCTGGGACAGACACAAGGGTCACTGCATTGCTCTGCTGTCACCTTGTCTGGGGCAATGCCTGTGCTGGAGGGCTCAGGGTCTCTGGGAGACAAGAGTGAAGGTTTGCTTTATTCATTCTGAGTCCTAGTTGGAATAAACACCAATAATAAGTACACTTCCTGATGCAGGAAGGATAGGTTTGGTGCTTCTGCCCCAGTTACACTCTCTGAACCTTGTCCCCTCAGCCCATGTTTCAGGGAGGGGAACAGGGCAAGTTTTCTGGAGTGCCACAGCTTCCCTGATACCTCATCATGTCTGTGCTCTGAGCCCTCTGTGTGTGAGCAGCTGCTGCTCATGCTGCTGAGGGAAGCAAGGGAGCATTGTCAGAGCCTTGGGGACAGTGGGCACGTGGGCAGGCAGGGTCCTCCCACCTGGGAACTCTGTTCTTCCCAGCTATGCCCAGGTGGGAGGAGATGGAGTGATTCTCTGCCTCAGCCAAACTTCCCCTGCCTGTGCAGCTCCTCCCAGGAGCCTGAAACACACCTCAGACAGCCTGAAATCCACACCAAAGAGCCCCCTCCAAACCCCTGCTCTTCCCCCAGTGCTGCATTGCCAGCAGAAGAGAAAAGGGCATGATGGGAAGCACACCCTCCTCTGAAAGTATAGGGGGAATTTGGTATTTTAAGAGAGAAATGAAAAGTACAAACCCAGCTGGTTGAGTTGTAACTGTGGGTCTGCCTGCTGTGGTGAGGAGAGCATGGAGGTTCCTGGAGTGAGAGCCATAACACCCCTTTCTAATCAAATGGAATGGAAAGGAAAATGAGGAAAAGCAAAATAAGTGTAGCCTCCTGTGTGGCTCTTGCTAATGATTTTGGTTTTGCATTGCCAGCTCTCCCAGTGGTGGTGAGGGTTCCACCCACGGACCATGGAGCCGAGGAGCACTGGGCACCAAGCAAAGCCACCAGTGTCCCCAGGCCAGCAGGATGAGCCCCTGACCCCGTGCTCTTCTTTATCGGCTGAAGATGAGGAAGGTGTCTATGGCTTCCTCTGTCCAAGGAGCAGTGAGTGCAGTGCTGAGGATGAGCCTGGTTATGAGCTGATCCATGGCAAATCCTTGCAATTCCTCTGTGGATCTTTTCCCAGGAGAAGGAGGAGACACAAAACAGGATTTATCAGCCCCACACAGGGACCTGCAGGGCACAGCAGGGATGCTACAGGCCACAATAAATTCTTCAGCAGCAGTGAAGTGTTGGCCTTTGGTGAACATTCCCACACAAAGCCTGGGCACATGCTCAGGCACAATGAAACAGAGCAGGTGGGGCTGCTCAGGGCAGACCTGGGGAGAGCCCAAAATGCCCTGGATTGCAAGGAACATGAGGTTAATGCCTTCCCTGTGTCTCCTGGGGAAGTGAAGGCATGTCCTGGACATGTGGTAAGTGTTCCACATGGTGGCTGTGGGTGGCTTCTCCCTGTGCCCCATTCCCTGCTCCCTAGAGGTGCCCAGCTGCTCCTGAGGTTGGGATGCTCTGGCAGACATGGATGCTTTTTCTTTTCTTTTCCTCTAAACTCCTGCTTTAAGCTGGTGATGTGCAGTTCAAATCCAGTGTGTTAAGTTGCCTTTGTATCCTTTAACAGCGGGTTGTACTACCCTGAGGGGTTTCTACCCAAATAGGAGCTGGATTTGTGTTCACCCCCAGCAGAGCAGGGAGTGTGCCAGGGGTTCAGGGCAGAATATGTTCCCCCAAGGCCCTGCAGGGAGGAGAATACTCCCTGGCCAGAGGAACTAGCACTGGCTGTTTTCCTCTATGTTTGGTCTGGGCACTGTGGGCTTTTCTCTCAGCTCCTCCTGTGCCTGGGGCCCAGAGGCTCCTGGTTGGGCTCCCTCACTGCAGTGTCTGTGCTCCTTGGGCAGCCTGTTTGTCTGTCAGCTCCCAGTGACACCTCTGTACCCCTTTGAGTGCCTGTGCTTACTCATGTGAGCATACTGCCCCTCAAGTCATCTGGTCCTGGTTATTTGGGCTGCAGAGAGCTCGAGGCTCCAGAGCGCTGGAGCAGAGCAGCTGTGGGGCCAGTGGAGCCATTGGAGCAGCCTTGTCCCCATGGCTGTTCACCTTCCCCATCCCTATCTCTGTTCTTGTGCTTCCCACAGCGGCTGCAAGGCAGGAGCCTGATAAGCTCATTGATATCTACAGGAGAAAGGCAAAGGGTGAATTTCAGAGCTCAGCAAGAACTGCTGGAATTCACCAGGATTGTTTTCTGGTTCTTTTCAAGTCTTTTTCAGTGTTTTGTGTCACTGTCTCAGGATCATAAACAGAACATGCAATTATTTATCCTGGGCACTGATTTAAATGCTTCCTCTCCCCATAACTCAGCCCCTCCCTTAGCAAAACCCACGGGGCTGAGGTCTGCTGCCTCTTCTTTCTCAGGGCTTTGGAATTCTTCCCAGCAGCAGGAACAGGAGCCTGAGCACAGGGTATGGGGACAGCCTGCTCTGCACCCTGCCTGCAGCCAGGATCTGTCCCCAAAAAACCTCTTCTACCTCTTGGTTCCCTTTGGGGTG